CAAAAAAAAAAAAAAAAAAAAAAAAAAAAGCCAAAACTGAATGTATCGCTCTCACAGAAGCAGAGATAAGGAGAGAGCCAAAGGTTGGCCCTTATTTATTCATCAAATATTCAGTGAGCACCCGGGGGTTCTTCTAGTCACTGTTCCAGGCACTGAGGACATGCCTGCAGGGAGCTTGCATTCCAGTGGGACAGGGGCAGATGACACACAGTAAATGCCAGGACCATTGATATTTGATGCTAAGTCAGGAAGAAAAACAAAGAAAAGGAAAGTTCTGGAAGCCCTGAGGAGGGAGCTAATTTGGAGAGGATGATCAGCTGAGGTCTCTCCAAGGAGGTGACGTTTGGGCAGAGAACACAATGATGTGAAAGTGTGAGTCTCCTGCCAATGTGGGGGAAGGGGAGTGTGCTGGAAAGAGGGGACATCAAGACACAAGTCCCCAGTGTGTACCGGGGACAGTGAGGGGCAGAGCACTGGGCAGGGGCCATCTTAGAATGCTCTTCCCTGGGGGATTCTTGGACAGGAAATGATTCAAATTTTTTGTGGTAGTTCTTTTACTGCTAAATGTCCTAGGTGTGATAACTAGTGTTTTTAAAAAAACACACAAAACCCCACAAAAAAACTCCAGGGCCTTCACTTTTTGAGATACCTACTGAAATAAAATGATCTGGGATCTGTTTCCCAATGATCTGGGGCAGGAAGGGTAGGAGAGCAGGTAAGGACGAAAGGAATCACCAAGGCCATAGTGAATGTCTGTTGAGATGGAACATGGGTGCATGGAGCCCATTACACTTTAAAGTCATTTGCTTGATTTGGCCAAGCTGCTCTCCAGAGCGATGGCAGAGACATGCACACCATGAACAAAGGAGGAGCGGCCTGCTTCTGCATATCTTGCCGACACTGGGCAAAGAGCTCCTGTCATCGTCAGGGCCAGTTTTGTGATGTTTAAGGAAGCCTTGGTCTGCTCTGCCATCTGACCAGGCAAATGGTGACACCCTCCCCTCTGCTCTGAGGGCCCCCGTGAAGCAACACGCAGGAGATATTTAATGAGCATTCAAGGTGGTGATGTAGGGTGCGTGAGGAAGCCCATCAAATTTTAGGGGGGGCAAAAGCAGCCCTCAGCTCATCTTCCTCCCAACAGGGTTCCTGGTTGTGGCGGCAGAGGCCTGCTGGGAACACGTGCTGGGCCTGGACAGAAGCTGGAGGCCAGAGCCACCCCGGAGGGGCCATGGTACCCAGACAGACTTTCCTCCAAGAACCTCCCCTTCAGGCACTTTTCTCTAGTATTTTTCCATTTTTCATGGTTAAGCTCAACTTTGCCTTCAACCTCTACCGCATCCCTTAAAGTCTTGGTCAACAAGGCGGGTGGGGAGGCCTGCCACATCACTGTTCAAGCTTAGTGCTTAGCCAGTGGGTAGACTAAGAAGGTGACAGCCCACGGTACAATGATATGCCTTCCTTCCTGGGCTCGGTCTGGACACTGGGTCCAGCAAAGGCAGGACAAGGCTGCCAGCAAGCTCCTCTAACACCGCCACCAGAAGGGGAAGGGGTGGGGGTGGGAGCGGG